TCTCCCTCTCTCTCTCCCTCTCTCTCCTCTTCTCTCTCCCCTCTCCTTCTCTCTCTCCCTCTCCTCTCTCCTCTCCTCTCTCCCTCTCTCTCTCCTCTCTCTCTCTCCTCTCCTCTCACCTCTCTCTCTCTCTCCCTCACTCTCCCTCCCTCGGGTCTCCTCCTCCCTCCTCTCCTCTCTCTCCCTCACGCTCTCTCCCCTCTCTCCTCCTCTCTCTCTCTCTCTCTCTCTCACTCTCTCTCTCTCTCCTCTCTCCCCTTTCTCTCTCTCTCTCTCTCCCTCTCTCCCTCTCTCTCCCTCTCCTCTCTCCTCTCTCCTCTCTCTCTCTCCTCTCTGGTCTCCTCCCCCTCTCTCTCTCTCTCTCCCTCTCCCTCCCTCCATGGGTCTCTCTCCGCTCTCTCCTCCCTACTCTCCTCTCTCTCTCTCATCTCCTCTCTCTCTCTCTACTTCCCTCCTCTCTCTCTGGGTCTCTCTCTCCCTCTCCCTCTGGTCTCTCTCTCTCTCTGGCCTCTCTCCTCTCTCCCCTCTCTCCTCTCTCTCCCGGTCTCCTTCCTCCCTCCTCTGGGTCTCCTCTCTCTCTCTCCTCTGGGTCTCTCTCCGCCTCTCCTCTGGTCTCCTCCGCCTCTCCTCTGGGTCTCCTCCACCTCTCCTCCTGTCCTCCGGGTCTCCTCCTCCTCTCCTCTGGGTCTCCTCCGCCTCTCCTCTCTCTCCTCCTCCCCCCTCTCCTCCTCTCCCCCATTCCACTCCTCTGGATCTCCTCCTCCTCTACTTCTCCTCTCCTCTGGGTCTCCTCCCCCTCTCCTCCTCCTCTCCCCTTCCACTCCATGCGTCTCCTCCGCCTCTCCTCTGCATCTCTTCCTCTCCTCTGCATCTCCTCCTCCTCTACTCTTCCTCTCCTCTGCATCTCCTCCTCCTCTACTCTTCCTCTCCTCTGGGTCTCCTCCCCCTCTCCTCTCCTCTGCTCTGCCTCTCTTCCTCCCTCCTCCTCCGCGGGGGTCTGGAGGAGGTGCTGTTTGAACTCTGTCTCCGCAGTGACAGAGGAAACGGTGGTTTTGCAACACACCGGAAACGTGAGACAGACTCCTCTGACAATGTTCAACTTCAGTCTTTTTACTGTGATCGTGTATGAACTTAGAAGCATGGCTAACCTCTATAACCCTGTATTTATGAACTTAGAAGCATGGCTAACCTCTATAACCCTGTATTTATGAACTTAGAAGCATGGCTAACCTCTATAACCCTGTATTTATGAACTTAGAAGCATGGCTAACCTCTATGGGGCGGCACAGTGGCTGAGTGGATAGCACTCTCGCCTCTCAGCAAGAAGGTCCTGGGTTCGAATCCCGGTCGGACCAGGGCCTTTCTGAGTGGAGTTTGCATGTTCTCCCCGTGTCTGCGTAGGTTTCCTCCGGGTACTCCGGTTTCCCCTACCACTAAAAATATGTCCAATAGTTCTGGCATGCGCCTCCTGTACTGGCGACCCCGCTCCCATCTCTGTGTGGAGTGAGAGACAAATGCCCAAAAATTAACAATTGTAAACCGCTTTGAGACTCAGATCTGCAGTGAAAAGGCGGTATATAAATAAATACTTACTACTTACTTACTACTTACTATAACCCTGTATTTATGAACTTAGAAGCATGGCTAACCTCTATAACCCTGTATTTATGACCTTAGAAGCATGGCTAACCTCTATAACCCTGTATTTATGACCTTAGAAGCATGGCTAACCTCTATAACCCTGTATTTATGAACTTAGAAGCATGGCTAACCTCTATAACCCTGTATTTATGAACTTAGAAGCATGGCTAACCTCTATAACCCTGTATTTATGAACTTAGAAGCATGGCTAACCTCTATAACCCTGTATTTATGAACTTAGAAGCATGGCTAACCTCTATAACCCTGTATTTATGAACTTAGAAGCATGGCTAACCTCTATAACCCTGTATTTATGAACTTAGAAGGATGGCTAACCTCTATTACCCTGTATTTATGAACTTAGAAGCATGGCTAACCTCTATAACCCTGTATTTATGAACTTAGAAGCGTGGCTAACCTCTATAACCCTGTATTTATGAACTTAGAAGCATGGCTAACCTCTATAACCCTGTATTTATGAACTTAGAAGGATGGCTAACCTCTATTACCCTGTATTTATGAACTTAGAAGCATGGCTAACCTCTATAACCGAGGACATGATTGTTGGTTTCAGACTCATCCAAAGTGAGGAAGATGAAATCGTGGACAGCTTTCTTGAGACAAAAGTCGACAATAATCTGAAGTTTGACATAAACTGAGTCTGTAGAGGAAATGGAACTCCTCCTCATGTAAACTGGACAATTCTCAATAACTTTTACTGTGTTTTTATTCAGGAATGAAGATTGTCACATACATTTATACAGAGGGAGCAGAGGCCTCAAACCTACCGTTTAATGAAGACGTCTAACTCACTAAATAACAATGTATAGATCCTTTATTGATCCCCGTAGAAGAAATTCAGTATTGTTAGTGCGACGTTACGACACTTGTTCTGCTGGTTCACTGTGGTCTCTCTCTGGTCTCTCTCTCTGGTCTCTCTCTCTGGTCCCTCTCTGTGGTCTCTCTCTCTCTGGTCTCTCTCACTGGTCTCTCTCTCTGGTCTCTCTCTCTCTGGTCTCTCTCTCTGGTCTCTCTCTCTCTGGTCTCTCTCTCTGGTCTCTCTCTGGTCTCTCTCTGTGGTCTCTCTCTCTCTGGTCTCTCTCACTGGTCTCTCTCTCTGGTCTCTCTCTCTCTGGTCTCTCTCTCTGGTCAGTCTCTCTGGTCTCTCTCTCTCTGGTCTCTCTCTCTGGTCTCTCTCTCTCTGTTCTCTCTCTCTGGTCTCTCTCTCTCTGGTCACTCTCTCTGGTCTCTCTCTCTCTGGTCTCTCTCTCTGGTCTCTCTCTCTCTGGTCTCTCTCTCTGGTCTCTCTCTGGTCTCTCTCTCTGGTCACTCTCTCTGGTCTCTCTCTCTGGTCTCTCTCTGGTCGCTCTCTCTGGTCACTCTCTCTGGTCTCTCTCTCTGGTCGCTCTCTCTGGTCTCTCTCTCTGGTCTCTCTCTCTGGTCTCTCTCTCTGGTCTCTCTCTCTGGTCGCTCTCTCTGGTCTCTCTCTCTGGTCTCTCTCTCTCTGGTCTCTCTCTCTGGTCACTCTCTCTGGTCACTCTCTCTGGTCGCTCTCTCTGGTCTCTCTCTCTGGTCTCTCTCTCTCTGGTCTGTCTCTCTGGTCACTCTCTCTGGTCACTCTCTCTGGTCGCTCTCTCTGGTCGCTCTCTCTGGTCACTCTCTCTGGTCACTCTCTCTGGTCACTCTCTCTGGTCTCTCTCTCTGGTCTCTCTTTCTCTGGTCTCTCTCTCTGGTCACTCTCTCTGGTCACTCTCTCTGGTCACTTGTTACGACACTTGTTCTGCTGCTTCCAAAGTCTGACGCTGAAGGACAGAAACAAGCTGCAGAGTTTTGTGAAAAGTCTAAAATCACTGGAGGAAAACTGTGGAGCAGGTGCTGAATGAACAAAGTACTGGCTCAGCCCAAACATCCACTGATCGCTGACTTTGTCCTGAGCCTTTCAAAGCTTCAACTCGGAAAACAAACCAATCTTTACAAATGAAACATTTTATTTCAACCTCAAAAGAACACACAGTGTTTTACATGCTGAGGGGAGAGAGAGAGGAGAGAGAGAGGAGTGTGAGAGAGAGGAGTGAGACAGGAGTGAGAGAGAGAGGAGTGAGAGAGAGAGCAGTGAGAGAGAGATTAGTGAGAGAGAGAGGAGAGAGAGAGAGAGGAGTGTGAGAGAGAGGAGTGAGACAGGAGTGAGAGAGAGAGGAGTGAGAGAGAGCAGTGAGAGAGAGATTAGTGAGAGAGAGAGGAGTGAGAGAGAGAGGAGTGAGAGAGAGAGGAGTGAGACAGATGAGAGAGAGAGAGGAGTGAGAGACAGAGGAGTGAGAGAGAGACGAGTGAGAGAGGAGTGAGACAGGAGTGAGAGAGAGAGGAGTGAGAGAGAGAGCAGTGAGAGAGAGAGCAGTGAGAGAGAGAGGAGTGAGAGAGAGGAGTGAGAGAGAGGAGGGAGAGAGAGAGGAGTGAGAGAGAGGAGTGAGAGATAGAGGAGTGAGGACAGATGAGTGAGAGAGAGAGGAGTGAGAGAGAGAGGAGTGAGAGAGAGAGGAGTGAGACAGATGAGAGAGAGAGAGGAGTGAGAGACAGAGGAGTGAGAGAGAGACGAGTGAGAGAGGAGTGAGAGAGAGAGGAGTGAGACAGAGAGGAGTGAGAGAGAGGAGTGAGAGAGATGAGTGAGAGAGAGGAGTGAGAGAGAGAGGAGTGAGAGAGAAGAGTGAGAGAGAGGAGTGAGAGAGAGGAGTGAGAGAGAGAGGAGTGAGAGATAGGAGTGAGAGAGAGAGGAGTGAGAGAGAGGAGTGAGAGAGAGAGGAATGAGAGAGAGAGGAGTGAGAGAGGAGTGAGATAGAGAGGAGTGAGAGAGAGACGAGTGAGAGAGAGGAGTGAGAGAGAGAGGAGTGAGACAGAGAGGAGTGAGAGATAGGAGTGAGAGAGAGAGGAGTGAGAGAGAGGAGTGAGAGAGAGAGGAATGAGAGAGAGAGGAGTGAGAGAGGAGTGAGATAGAGAGGAGTGAGACAGAGAGGAGTGAGAGAGACGAGTGAGAGAGAGAGGAGTGAGAGAGGAGTGAGAGAGAGAGGAGTGAGAGACAGAGGAGTGAGAGAGAGAGGAGTGAGAGAGAGGAGTGAGAGAGAGAGGAGTGAGAGAGGAGTGAGAGAGAGAGGAGTGAGAGACAGAGGAGTGAGAGAGAGAGGAGTGAGAGAGAGGAGTGAGAGAGAGAGGAGTAAGAGACAGAGGAGTGAGAGACAGAGGAGTGAGAGAGAGAGGAGTGAGAGAGAGGAGTGAGAGAGAGAGGAGTAAGAGACAGAGGAGTGAGAGACAGAGGAGTGAGAGAGAGAGGAGTGAGAGAGAGAGGTACGATGCCGTCAAAGGTACGATTAAGTCAAAGGTACGATGACGTCTGCGTACGCACAGTTCTTCTCGATGCCTAAGTTGAACCAGTTTCCTTTGCCTCCTTTGTAAGCGCTGGTGACGATCCGGGCCCAGCCGTGCTCCCCCTGAAACAAACACAGACGGTTGCTAAGGCGGTTGCTAAGGAAAGATGGGGTTTCTCCCTTCAGCAGAGGCGAGTTCAGTGGTTAGAAAAGTGTATAAAAGTTGAGGGTTTTAAAGCCTTAAAACATAAAGCTGCTACTGAGAGGATTTCAGGTGGTCTCTGGTCTGGTTCTATGGTCTCTCTCTGGTCTCACTCTGGTCTGGTTCTCTGGTCTCACTCTGGTCTCACTCTGGTCTCACTCTGGTCTCACTCTGGTCTCACTCTGGTTTCACTCTGGTCTCTCTCTGGTCTCTCTCTGGTCTCTCTCTGGTCTCTCTCTGGTCTCTCTCTGGTCTCTCTCTGGTCTCACTCTGGTCTCTCTCTGGTTTCACTCTGGTCTGGTTCTATGGTCTCTCTCTGGTCTGGTTTTCTGGTCTCACTCTGGTCTCACTCTGGTCTCTCTCTGGTCTCTCTCTGGTCTCTCTCCTGGTCGCACTCTCTGGTCTCTCTCTGGTCTCTCTCTCTGGTCTCTCTCTATGGTCTCTCACTGGTCTCGCTCTGGTCTCGCTCTGGTCTCTCTCTGGTCTCTCTCTGGTCTCTCTCTGGTCTCTCTCCTGGTCGCACTCTCTGGTCTCTCTCCTGGTCTCTCTCCTGGTCTCTCTTTCTGGTCTCTCTCTCTGGTCTCTCTCTCTGGTCTCTCTCTCTCTGGTCTCTCTCTCTCTGGTCTCTCTCTCTCTGGTCTCTCTCTCTCTGGTCTCTCTCTCGCTGTTCTCTCGCTGTTCTCTCGCTGGTCTCTCGCTGGTCTCTCGCTGGTCTCTCGCTGGTCTCTCGCTGGTCTCGCTCTGGTCTCGCTCTGGTCTCGCTCTGGTCTCGCTCTGGTCTCGCTCTGGTCTCGCTCTGGTCTCGCTCTGGTCTCGCTCTGGTCTCTCTCTGGTCTCTCTCTGGTCTCTCTCTGGTCTCTCTCTGGTCTCTCTCTCTGGTATCTCTCTGGTCTCTCTCTCTGGTCTCTCTCTCTGGTCTCTCTCTCTGGTCTCTCTCTCTCTGGTCTCTCTCTCTCTGGTCTCTCTCTCTGGCCTCTCTCTCTCTGGTCTCTCTCTCTCTGGTCTCTCTCTCTCTGGTTTCTCTCTCTCTGGTCTCTCTCTCTCTGGTCTCTCTCTCTGGTCTCTCTCTCTGGTCTCTCTCTGTGGTCGCTCTCTCCTGGTCGCACTCTCTGGTCTCTCTCCTGGTCTCTCTCTCTGGTCTCTCTCTCTGGTCCCTCTCTCTGGTCTCTCTCTCTGGTCTCTCTCCCTGGTCTCTCTCTGGTCTCTCTCACTGTTCTCTCTCACTGTTCTCTCTCTCTGGTCTCTCTCACTGGTCTCTCTCTCTGGTCTCTCTCTCTCTGGTCTCTCTCTCTCTGGTCTCTCTCTCTCTGGTCTCTCTCTCTCTGGTCTCTCTCTCTCTGGTCTCTCTCTCTGGTCTCTCTCACTGGTCTCTCTCTCTGGTCTCTATCTCTGGTCTCTCTCTGGTCTCTCTCTCTGGTCTCTCTCTCTGGTCTCTCTCTGGTCTCTCTCTGGTCTCTCTCTGGTCTCTCTCTGGTCACTCTGGTGTCTTGTTTTGTTTCTGGTCTCACTGGTCTCTGGTCTCTCTGTCCCCTTGGTCTCTGGGTCTCTGGGTCTCTAGTCTTAGGTCTCGGTCTTGTCCACGTACCCAGAACTCTCCCCACGAGTTGCGGACGACCCAGTACTCTGTGCCGTTGTCCACGCCCCATCCCGCCACAGAGATGATGTGATTGGGCAGCGACACAGGGTGGAACTCAGAGAACAGCCCGCCCCCGTACTGCTCCAGGGCAGCTGTGGCCATCAGAGCGCAACTGCAACCAGAACCAGAACCACACAGAAATGGGCTTCTGTATTTGACCAATCATCTACTGTTTGCTACTTAATCTGCAATTCTTCTCTTTTTCCCCCGACTAGAACCAGGAAGTACCATCACATTAGTCCTGGTCTCAGGTCTCCGCTTCCTGTCCCTTCCATAAGGACTGGCCTCCTACTGGGATACTGACGGGCCCGGTGCATTAGATCCTTATGGCCCTGGTCCTAGTTCTGACTTGGGTCCTGGTCTTGGTCCTGGTCCTTACCCTGGTCCTGGTTCTCATTGTGGTCCTGGTTCTCATTCGTCCAGGTGCATTCAATCCTGATGGTCCTGGTCTTGGTTCTGGTCTTGGTTCTGGTCTTGGTTCTGGTCTTGGTTCTGGTCTTGGTTCTGGTCTTGGTTCTGGTCTTGGTCCTGGTCTTGGTCCTGGTCTTGGTCCTGGTCTTGGTCCTGGTCTTGGTCCTGGTCTTGGTCCTGGTCTTGGTCCTGGTCTTGGTCCTGGTCTTGGTTCTGGTCCTATTTTAATAGCTTTGAAAAGTTTGATTCTCTGATCTGTTGTTGCCAAGACGACGGCTATTGTGATTTTTGACTTAAACCTCTGTCCGGGCGTGTGGCTGGTCCTGGCTGGTCTTGGTTGGTCCTGGTTAGTCCTGGCTGGTCCTGGCTGGTCCTGGCTGTCGGAGGGCGTTACCTTATGGGTCCGTTTGTGTAAATCTCCGCCTTCATGTGGTCGCGCCCGGACACCTCGCCGTAGTCTCCCACTCTCCACAGAGTGTAGTTCTTCACCACTGCACACGACTGGAAGAAGGAGCAGGTGCCGCACTGGTTAAACTCCTCGCACTCTGAGAGGACGGACACAGGGACAGGTCATGAGACCACAGGAAGTCAGGACGTAGACAGGACATGAGACCACAGGAAGTCAGGAAGTAGACAGGACATGAGACCACAGGAAGTCAGGAAGTAGACAGGACATGAGACCACAGGAAGTCAGGAAGTAGACAGGACATGAGACCACAGGAAGTCAGGAAGTAGACAGGACATGAGACCACAGGAAGTCAGGAAGTAGACAGGACATGAGACCACAGGAAGTTAGGAATTAGACAGGACATGAGACCACAGGAAGTTAGGAATTAGACAGGACATGAGACCACAGGAAGTAGACAGGAAATGAGACCACAGGAAGTCAGGAAGTAGACAGGACGTGACACTACAGGAATCAGGAAGTAGACAGGAAATGAGACCACAGGAAGTCAGGAAGTAGACAGGACATGACACCACAGGAAGTCAGGAAGTAGAAAGAAAGAGAGAAATAAAGAAACAGACACAGACACACAGAAACGACACACAGACAGACAGACACAGACACACAGACAGACAGAGACGACACACAGACAGACAGAGACGACACACAGACAGACAGAGACGACACACAGACAGACAGAGACGACACACAGACAGACAGAGACAGACACAGACAGACAGAGACAGACACAGACAGACAGACACAGACACAGACAGACAGACACAGACAGACAGAGACAGACACAGACAGAGACAGACACAGACAGACAGACACAGACACACAGACAGACAGAGACGACACACAGACAGACAGAGACGACACACAGACAGACAGAGACAGACACAGACAGACAGAGACAGACACAGACAGAGACAGACACAGACAGACAGACACAGACAGACAGAGACAGACACAGACAGAGACAGACACAGACAGACAGACACAGACACAGACAGACAGACACAGACAGACAGAGACAGACACAGACAGAGACAGACACAGACAGACAGACACAGACACAGACAGACAGACACAGACAGACAGAGACAGACACAGACAGACAGACACAGACAGACAGAGACAGACACAAACAGAGACAGACAGAGACAGACAGAGACAGAGACAGACACAGACAGACAGAGACAGAGACAGACACAGACAGACAGACAGACACACAATCATATCAAGAATGCATGAAGGGAACAACATCAACATCTGTTGTAATATTTTAAGAATAAAGTCTTGAACTGGACTTTGTTGCTCTGTTGTGTCATGTTGAAGATATCTCCTGGAGGTAGTACTTATCCCTGTGTAGGTTTCCTCTGGGTGCTCCGGTTTCCCCTACCACCAAAAACATGCACAATAGGTGAGGGTTGTGAGTGTGTTTGTGAGTAACTGTGGGACTACTGATGCGAATTAGCAACAAAAAGCTAGGAGGAGCATTATCAAGCAAAACATAGCCCCTTTTCCTTCTGCTTAGAGCTAGCGTGTTAGCGTTGCCTATCTATATACAGTGGGGCAAAAAAGTATTTAGTCAGCCACCGATTGTGCAAGTTCTCCCACTTAAAATAATGACAGAGGTCTGTAATGTTCATCATAGGTTCACTTCAACTGTGAGAGACAGAATGTGAAAAAAAATCCAGGAATTCACATTGTAGGATTTTTAAAGAATTTATTTGTAAATTATGGTGGAAAATAAGTATTTGGTCACTTCAAACAAGGAAGATCTCTGGCTCTCACAGACCTGTAACTTCTTCTTTAAGAATCTCTTCTGTCCTCCACTCGTTACCTGTAGTAATGGCACCTGTTTGAACTCCTTATCTGTATAAAAGACACCTGTCCACAGCCTCAAACAGTCAGACTCCAAACTCCACTATGGCCAAGACCAAAGAGCTGTCGAAGCACGCCAGGAAAAGAATTGTAGACCTGCACCAGACTGGGAAGAGTGAATCTACAATAGGCAAGCAGCTTGGTGTGAACAAATCAACTGTGGAAGCAATTATCAGAAAATGGAAGACACCACTGATAATCTCCCTCGATCTGGGGTTCCACGCAAGATCTCATCCCGTGGGGTCAAAATGATCAAAAATCCCAGAACCACACGGGGGGACCTGGTGAATGACCTGCAGAGAGCTAGGACCAAAGTAACAAAGGTTACCATCAGTAACACACTACGATGCCAGACGTGTCCCCCTGCTGAAGCCAGTGCATGTCCAGGCCCGTCTGAAGTTTGCCAGAGAGCACATGGATGATACAGCAGAGGATTGGGAGAATGTCATGTGGTCAGATGAAACCAAAGTAGAACTGTTTGGTATAAACTCAACCCGTCGTGTTTGGAGGAAGAAGAACACCACACCTACTGTGAAGCATGGGGGTGGAAACGTCATGCTTTGGGGCTGTTTTTCTGCTAAGGGGACAGGACGACTGATCCGTGTTAAGGAAAGAATTAATGGGGCCATGTATCGTGAGATTTTGAGCCAAAACCTCCTTCCATCAGTGAGAGCTTTGAAGATGAAACGTGGCTGGGTCTTCCAGCATGACAATGATCCCAAACACACCGCCCGGGCAACGAAGGAGTGGCTCCGTAAGAAAGTCCTGGAGTGGCCTAGCCAGTCTCCAGACCTCAACCCCATTGAACATCTGTGGAGTAGAGCTGCAACTAACGATTATTTTGTAATCGATTAATCTATTGTTTATTTTTACGATTAATTGAGTAATCGCTTGGCTGTGAATTGTGTAGAAACATTTTATTTTTTCATCACAAAAAGCTAAAGTGGCAACACTCGAGGACGTATTGATGGCGTAAACCTAAAGTAAATGTTTGTAACAGGCTCTTTGTGCTAATTCTGCTATCTGATTGGATGAGACAGACAGATATTCATGAAATTATAAAAACAAAGTCGGTTTTAATCAAAAATACTACATTTTCATGTCATTTTTGCTCTGTTTGAGTCCGTGTGAACCAGAAAACGATTAATCGATTACTAAAATAGTTGTCGACTATTTCAATAATCGATTAGTTGTCGATTAATCGATTAGTTGTTTCAGCCCTACTGTGGAGGGAGTTGAAAGTCTGTGTTCACTGCTCTTGAGAAGATCTGCATGGAGGAATGGGCCAAAATACCAGCTACTGTGTGTGCAAACCTGATAAAGACCTATAGTAATCGTTTGACCTCTGATATTGCCAACAAATGTTATATTGCAAAGTATTGAGTTGAATTTTTGTTATTGACCAAATACTTATATTCCACCATAATTTACAAATAAATTCTTTAAAAATCCTACAATGTGAATTCCTGGATTTTTTTCCCACATTCTGTCTCTCACAGTTGAAGTGAACCTATGATGAACATTACAGACCTCTGTCATTATTTGAAGTGGGAGAACTTGCACAATCGGTGGCTGACTGAATACTTTTTTGCCACACTGTACTTTCTGTGGCAGTGTCTCAAGGCAGCGGCGCTTGTGAATAAAGAGTAAAAAGCTGAAAAACGTGGCTCAAAGTGGAGACAGAGAGAGGCGCTAAATGCTGACGCTGCGTTTTGTGTCAAAGAGAAGCAGCAGAGGCGCTCCGGGCCCCTGTCACGGCGGGAGGAGGGTCTGCTGCTCTGTCAGGGAGAGACTCTCGAGCTGTTTGTAGAAGGAAACAGAGAGGTTCAAGAACTGGGCTGATATACGCAGGTTTTGGATCATTACCGCAGACGTATTTCACTGTTGTGTGGCAGAAATAAGTATCAGACCTCAAACTAAGGCTCATGTCTGTTCCTTGAAGCTGGGGAGGAAGTTGGCTGAATGATATGTGTTTTTGTATGTATTCTCTCTCTGGTCTCTCTCTGGGCACTCTCTGGTCTCTCTCTGGTCTCACTCTGGGCACTCTGTGGTCTCTCTCTGGTCTCTCTCTGGTCTCTCTCTGGGCACTCTCTGGGCACTCTCTGGTCACTCTCTGGTCTCTCTCTGGTCTCTCTCTGGTCTCTCTCTGGTCTCTCTCTGGTCTCTCTCTGGTCACTCTCTGGTCACTCTCTGGGCACTCTCTGGTCTCTCTCTGGTCTCTTTCTGGTCTCTCTCTGGGCACTCTCTGGGCACTCTCTGGTCTCTCTCTGGTCTCTCTCTGGTCTCTCTCTGGTCTCTCTCTGGTCTCTCTCTGGTCTCTCTCTGGTCTCTCTCTGGGCACTCTCTGGGCACTCTCTGGGCACTCTCTGGTCTCTCTCTGGTCTCTCTCTGGTCTCTCTCTGGTCTCTCTCTGGTCTCTCTCTGGTCTCTCTCTGGGCACTCTCTGGGCACTCTCTGGGCACTCTCTGGGCACTCTCTGGGCACTCTCTGGGCACTCTCTGGGCACTCTCTGGGCACTCTCTGGGCACTCTCTGGGCACTCTCTGGTCTCTCTCTGGTCTCTCTCTGGTCTCTCTCTGGTCTCTCTCTGGGCACTCTCTGGGCACTCTCTGGTCTCTCTCTGGTCTCTCTCTGGTCTCTCTCTGGTCTCTCTCTGGTCTCTCTCTGGTCTCTCTCTGGTCTCTCTCTGGTCTCTCTCTGGTCTCTCTCTTGTCTCTCTCTGGTCTCTCTCTTGTCTCTCTCTGGTCTCTCTCTGGTCTCTCTCTGGTCTCTCTCTGGTCTCTCTCTTGTCTCTCTCTGGTCTCTCTCTGGTCTCTCTCTTGTCTCTCTCTGGTCTCTCTCTTGTCTCTCTCTGGTCTCTCTCTGGTCTCTCTCTGGTCTCTCTCTGGTCTCTCTCTGGTCTCTCTCTGGTCTCTCTCTG